GTAAAATCAGCTATCTTAAAAAAAATCAGCTATCTTGGTAAATAACGGTTACCTAGAGAGGGCAATGAAAGGCTAGGTTCTGGCTTGTACTAGTCTAGGCAGGAGAAAGCTATATGACAGTATTCTGGGCGCGACTACTTGTGTGCCCACCACCCATGAGATCCCGCCTATGAGGTAACCACCCGGTACTACTACAGCAGGCATCATTCCTTTCCAGAGAGTAATCACAAACATCTTGTCCAGCCCTGGAGGAGGATGGGGAAGGAGGTTGGAGGCAATGTTCAAGGGTGTGCTGCAGTCCACTCCAGCTAAACGTACTGTTCATACCAGCTGAGTCACCAATTCATCGCACTCGTCTCCAGAGGCCCCATGCTTTATTACAGGTGGCAGAGACAGCGGCTGTGATTATAACCTCCTTCCACAGGAAGAATTCTGGTGTTGCCATGTCCTATTAAAATAACTACAGAAGGTTTCTCCCACTTTTCTCAAAAATCTACAGAAAAATCACTTGTATTTACAGCGAGACCTGGAACACATCTTTCCTACAAGTACACAACCTCACGATAAGTTCAGATGAAAAACTTCTCATTTTTAAATGTTTTTATCTTTTAATTTATGTGCAGAAAACAGTTCACATAGCAGGCCTATGGCTGCTGCCCTTAGAAAGATTTGTTTATGAGATTGGTGCTGGGCTGACATTTGAGAACTTGACTGGTAAACAGTTTCCTGTATGAATAGAAAACGTCCTATTCATGGTGGGTGGCTCGCTGTATCTAATCTATTGGTACAAACAACGTGGTACATACTGAACCTGCTTTCCTTCTGCAAATCTTACATTTCAGTGACTATAGTCAGTCACACAGGCACTACATGCCTATATGGTCAGCGCTCAGTAAAAACCCTGGACTCCTAGGCTCAGGGGAGTTTTCCTAGTAGAGAGCATTTCACACATGTTGTTACAACTCACTGCTGGCAGAATTTCTTGCATTAATGTGCAACTTAGAGGATGATTAGAAGCCTGTGCCCAGCTTCCTCCACACTCCACCTTGAGTGCCTCTCCCCTTTGCCAGGCTTGCTTTGTATCCTTTTGTTCTGGGAAATTATAGGCATAAGTGTAACTGTATGCTGAGTCCTGTGCATCCTTGCTCACCTAATTTCGGAGCTAGTCTTGAGAACACCTGACATACTCTACCTATGAATAAGGTAAAAATTTGATTATATATCAACATATCTGCCTGTGAATGTTGCCTCATCTCAGGGTGTTGGAAAACATTTCATTCACTTCCAATAAGGTAACGTGATATAAACTAGAGGTGTACTACAAAGTAAACTTGCCCACTAAAATAACCTTGCTTAATACACGACAGTAGTTAAAATGTTAATGAATTAATCATTCAGAACAGCAAAATCCATACTATTTTCCACCAATTTAAAAAATTGTCTGAGTTTGTTACTGTTATGAAAACACAGTTTGAATATGGCAAATAGTATTCCAAATTATTTTAATAGCACTTGTATGAGACAGAGTCAAATGCAAAATTACGAATAAAAAAAATTAAGACCACTTAGAGCAATCATCTCTCTCTATTGATTAAAAACAAATGAAATATAAATGAACTTTTACTCCTCCTCCAGAACCCAAATCTTTCTATGAACTTGCCTCCTGCATATGAGTACTGTCTGATGGTTAATCTCTAGATCTCTTTAGAGAAATCTGTCAGTGCAGTAGGAGCAAACTTAAAAGAAAGCTCAAAAAATTTATCTGAAAAAGAAAAAAAATTCTCTAAAGTTGGTATATTCTCTGAAGATACATTAATCAGGTATTTAAAAAACTCAATGCTTTCATGAGCTCCAAAGAAGCTCCAAGATCATGGAAAATATGTCTCTACTAGTTCTTGAAAGATGATAAAATAATAAATCTCAAGAATAATAATTTATAACTTTATTAAGAAATTAAGCCTGGGCATAGTGGCTTAGGCCTGTAATCCCAGCACATTGGGAGACTAAGGAAGGATGATTTCTTGAGGCTAGGAGTTCAAAACCAACTTGGGCAACATAGTGAGACCCTATCTCTACAAAAAGAGAAAAGGCAAAAAAAAAAAAAAATAGCTCTGTAAAATTAGCTGAGGGTGGTGGTGAGTGCCTGTGGTCTCAGCTACTTAGGAGACTGAGGTAGAAAGATCACTTGAGCCCAAGAGGATGAGACTGCAGTGAGTCATGATTGTGCCTACTCCAGCCTGGACAAAGAGTGACACCTTGTCTCTAAAAAAAAAAAAAAAAATGAAAGAAATTAGGTGAACAATTCAAACTTGTTCCACAAACTCGTGTCATGTGTCAGGTAATATCTAAAGTAAAATTTAAAAATGAATGTTGCACAGAAAATTTGAGAAAAACATGATTAAATGTATTTTAAATTTAAATTTTTTATTCAGATCGTAGTTATTACAATTTAAGTAATTTAAGTTATATGTGGAGGGCCGGGCGTGGTGGCTCACGCCTGTAATCCCAGCACTTTGGGAGGCCGAGGCGGGTGCATCACGAGGTCAAGAGATCGAGACCATCCTGGTCAACATGGTGAAACCCCGTCTCTACTAAAAATACAAAAAATTAGCTGGGCATGGTGGCGCGTGCCTGTAATCCCAGCTGCTCAGGAGGCTGAGGCAGGAGAATTGCCTAAACCCAGGAGGCGGAGGTTGCGGTGAGCCGAGATCACGCCATTGCACTCCAGCCTGGGTAACAAGAGCGAAACTCCGTCTCAAAAAACTCCTCGTCTTGTTAAGACAAGGGAAAAGTCAGGGTAGGAAAGGTCTGGTGCAAATCAGACACTGAGATGTGATCCATTCACTCTCTCTACTTCTAGAAGTAAGTTTTGCTAGAGTCCCTGCTCTTGCTTCTGTCAGGGCATTCGAACCATGTTTAACTTAGGATGGGAGTCCTCTAATGTCCCCAATGTCCCCTGCTTACCTAGGACTACAATGCAACCTGCTTCGTGTCTTAGATGGATTCCATAAGCTTTAAACCTATAGGACCTGGACATAAATTGGGATCACTCTGGACCCATTGGCCATTCACTATAGAGGCATCACAGAACAATTGAGAGGATTCTGCCCTACCTGTCTTCCTTCTATTCTCAGCTGAGCATGACAGAGTATAACTATGACATTTAGGGCAGATGAATTTTAGCAATAAAAGCTGATTCTAGGGATGATGAATAAAGTATGTAACACCCGTCAAAGTCATATTAAATTTTTAAAACCTTGTTAACTCTGTGGTGAATGAACTCCACATCAAAACAGAGGGTTTTTTTTTCTCAGAAAGTTGGCCATAAATACATCCTAAGTCATATCAGAATAAGCATGTGATTATCTGAGATAAGCATTCCAGGGAGAAGTACAAGGACACCAAAGAAGTCAGTGCGGCTGGAAGGGAGTGGACAATATGTCATCTATAAAAACAGATGAAGTCAGACAAGAGTGGAAGAGGAAAATGAAAGGTCATATCGGTTCTCTTAGGTTAGTGCAAGGACTTTTTCTCTGAGGGAGACTGGAAGCTCTTGGAGGATTTAGCTTATAGTTTAACTGGATCATGGCTGCTGCCACTGAAATGGAAAAAGTACCCTTGTCCCCCTCGCAGGGCATGTGATGGGGAGTGGCTCACTTCTTCAGGCCCCACTGCTCAAACCTCAAGGGGAGCATACAGATGGGCAGGTTATAGAGCTCCGACACCACGGCAGTGTCTGGGGTGGATGTTTACAGCCTGAAACCCCAGTGGGTGTGGGCTACCGTGTGCTCTTTTAGTTTTGCCTTCTATAGGCGGCCTGTGTTAACCAGCTCAATTAGACCCCTCTGCCTTTACAGAGGGCTTTCAGTATCCTGGGTTCTTACCTTGGTGTACTGGAAGAATCAGATCACACGTGGGCTTGGAGAATGAGTGCATGATTTTATTGAGTGGAAGTAGCTCTCAGCAGATGGGGGAGCCAGAAGAGAGATGGTTTTCCCCTGGAGTTGAGCCACTCAGTGTCCCTCCAACTGCCCCAGCCAAACTCTGCATCATTCTGCTGGCCTATGACCTGCTGGCAGACCGCCAACATCCTCTTGACATCAAAGAGCTGTGTCTTCTTCCATCGATGTGTTCCTCTCAACGTCCAGCTGCTTGTGTGTCTGCCTGCTAGGATCTCAGGGTCTTTATAGGCACAGGATGGGGGCATGGCAGACCAGGGTGGTTTTGGGAAATGAAACATTTGGGCACAAAGCCAGGAGTGCCTGTCCTCACCTGAGTCTGTGGGCACAGGCCGGGGATGGAGCTCTGGCCATGGACCTGCCCTTCTCTTCCTGGCACTTCCCTGTTTCCCTTCCGTATCATCATGTTGCAAACATACTGAAGGGGGCAAAGGGCAAAGGTGGGTGATCAATTTGAAAGCTACTGCAGTAATCTAGGTGGAAGATAATGGTGGCTTATATCAGGGTGGTAGCAGTGGATGTCTAAAAAGTGTCCAATTCAGGATATGTTTTGAAGGTAGAGCCAAGAGGATTGCTTACAACTTGGACTTGGGGATAAAGAAAAAGAAGTCCAGAATTTCTCCCAAGACTTTTGGCTAGATCCATTGGAGGAGATGCCATTTAAAAGGAAAGAAGAACAGATCAGGAGACAATTCAAGAATATTAGAAGTTCCATTTTGGACATTGTAAATGGGAGGCACATATTAGATGGCAAGGTTTTCTAATCTACAGCCCTTCTTTTCCCTGCTTGGACTAAATCCCTATTCTGAATCTTAGCCCTGACCTAGCCCTGACCTAGCAGGCTAGATCCCTTACTCCCAATCTACACTTACTGGCTAAGGTCCTACTCCACACACAAAAAGATCACCTGGAACCAAGATGGTGCCAACAACCAGATTCACAGGACTATTGCCAGAACCCAGAAAGTCCTGTTGCAACATCCTATCCACCAGACGTGATTCCCTTCAATACTAATTTTGTTTTTATTTTTTATTTTTACAGGGACAGAGTCTCGTTTTGTTGCCCAGGCTGCTCTTGAACTCCCAGGTTCAAGCAATCCTCCTGCTTCGGCCTCCCAAAGTGCCAGGATTACAGGTGTGAGCCTCTTTTCCTGGACTTTCACAATTCCCTGTAGAACAGATCATTTCCATTGCAGCTCTACCATGGGGTTATTATACGCAAATTCCTCCCAATTGTAGGTTTCTCCCTTCTCACTAGTAGATCTCACTGCTACGTATGTTTCACATTTCAACTTCTGCAAATTAGCAATGAGTTTAATTATGTTGAGGGAAAACATAATAATGTATCACTAACTCTAAACCATCCTTCTGTCGTTTTATATGCTTTGTTTATATAGATGCTTTTTAAAGATAAAGTGAAAGAGAAAAAAGATAAATTGTCAAGTGGTTTTACTAGTCATATTTCTTTCCGGTAGACTGTGTGATCCCTCAGACTTTGCAAATTTGCTGTAAAAACTGTCCTGTCAAATAATTCTAAAATGTGTCTATTAGTCCTGGAACACCTCTAAAACCTAAGAATTGCCAAAATACTTTTATGCTTTTAATTCCAAACCTGGGGCTCCAACGTTTGAAAACAAAATGGCACATACAAAAGCACTTTCCAAGTATATTACATACATAGTAATAAGAATCCCAAGTTTCTGATGTATAAAACAAAGTGTTATATACACTTTTATATATGGAGGAGAGAGAATAGCAAACAGAAAGGCACCCCAAACCCTAATGCAAAGATCGATAAAAAGCTCCTGGCCAACATGATGAAACCCCGTCTCTACTAAAAAATACAAAAATTAAGTGGGCATGGTGGTGTGCACCTGTAGTCCCAGCTACTTGGGAGGCTGAGGCAGGAGCACTGCTTGAACCTGGGAGACGGGGGTTGCGGTGAGCCAAGCTTGGGCCACTGCACTCCAGCCTGGTGCCTGGCGACAAAGCGAGACTCTGTCTCAAAAAAAAAAAAAAAAAAAAAAAGCCAGCCAGCAGCACATCAGGCTGCTGTATTGGCTAACCCTCAAAGTCGTTGGGTCTGTTCATTAATTTTTGTATCACATTTATTCAAGAATTGTCCTGTTTAGTTACTCAACAACCTGGGAAATAGCTCGATAGGCCATGAGTTACCCTTTCTTTGCTATTTGCTGCTGATGCTTTAGAAAACCTAGTTTTTTTTTTTTTTTTAAACATACGAATATTTTTCAGTTATTTATTTCATCATTATGATATCTGTATCTCCCATTCCAGCACTGATCGGCTTTAGGCAGAAGCTTTTGAAATAAGGTGATATTATGAAACGTTCACGAAACAATTCTGTACCATCTGTGCAAGACTGTTTTTGTAAGAAACCTCTAAAATTTAATGACATTTCCTGCAGCTACAGAGAAGGCTGAAATACAAACAGTCCCTTTCCCGAAAACGAGGTGCTATTTCAATCACATTTCTCACCAGCACTTTTCTTTTTTGCGAAAGTGTTTGTCCTAGTGATGTGAACGTATGACAAACGTCAATGGTTAATAAGATAACCAGAAACTGTGAAAATCAAACGTGCCTGGAACGCATCAGTTTCACACTTTTAGTCCTTCGCTTGAGACTCAAGGGCCACATGGCCAGGTAAGTCTTTCACCTCTGGAAACCGTTCAACATCCTTCCAGTAAGAAATAATCGTTAAGGGCAAGGTGTTAAAGAAATCCAGTGAGCTGTTCCCCACGGGTCACCGCCTCCCTCCACCTGCCTCCACCCTCCGACCGCGCACTGAAAGCAAAAAGCTTAGACAGGAGCGAGCGAGGCCAGAGACTACAACTCCCAGCAGGCGTCGCGGCAGTGGGAGGTCACGCATGCGTAACCCAGGCCCCAGGACTACAGTCTCGCTGCCGGCCTTCTGCGAGGGGAGAATGGCGGCGTCCCCGCTGCGGCTAGGACCGGAAAAGCTCTTTGAAATGCCTGCGGTGCTGGGGCGACTGAGCCGCTATCAGAGCACGTCCCAGGCCTTTGCTGAGGTGCTGCGGCTGCCGAAGCAGCAGCTGAGGAAGCTGCTGTACCCGCTGCAGGAAGTCGAGCGGTACCTCGTCCCCGACGGGAGGCAAGACCTTCACCTGCGGATCTTTAACCCGAGCCTGGAGGACATCGCGAGGGCGGAGAGCGTCTTCAAGGCCACCGAACGTAACCGCATCGACTACGTCAGCTCCGCCATCCGTAAGGACCACGCCCCGGACCTCCCCCGGCCTGAGGTGAGAGCGGCGATTCTCACGGTTTGCCGGAGCTCTGGCGTCCCAGGCTCACCGCTGCCTCTGCCGTGGGGCTAGCGGCTGATGTTGCTGTTGTGTTTTGTAGCTTTGTGTGGGCGCATGTATTATTTTAACTAAATAGGGACATGCCGATGCTCCATGTACGTGGGGATACCCGAGAAAGCCCTCGTAAGTAGAAAATGCAGTCAGCCGAGTCGTTAAGTCGACCCGCTGTAAGCCAGACACTGCCTGGATGCAGTTTACATTATTTGGGAATTAATATAGAAGACTTAATGCTTTAAAACATTTTGAGACCCAAACTAAACATTCAAAATAGTAACTTGTCTTTTTTTCCCCCCCAGGTAAGTAGGGAAAACATGCCAGACAAATCAGAATTTAGACAGTGAACAATAGGAAACGAGTCAGTTTCACAAATGAGAGGACCCTTATCAATAATTAACTTTCGCCTAAACTTCCTATCATGTGCAAAAGTAATAATTATCTCTAGATGGCAATAACGTGGAAAGTTTTTAATAGCAACTTTTAGTAGTGAAATTTCTTGAGTAAGCATTTTTGCATGTCCTACAATTCAGTGATACTCTGTTCTAAGTCTGCTAAAAGGCAGCTGAACTCTCCATAGGTATTTACAGTGACTGCACCGTTGCCCAGAGATTTTTCTTCTAAATATATGTAGAACTATAGTCAGGACTCAGAGTACCTAAATTATTTAATGATTTTGAGACAGCCATTGCTTTTTTACTTAAGCTTCGAAATTACTGGATTTTTTTTGTAATTCGTTTTTAAAATTCAGTTTTATCAGCAAATTAGCATGAGGTTTGCTCTGGCAGAGCATTTAACATTTTTGCAGGACTCAGATCAATTAATTTTGAAGGACTGACCAGAATTTTGCATGATAGGATCCCTGGCCCGTGCCCACTAAATGTCCCCCAATTGTCTTGATAACCAGAAATGCCCTCAAAATCTCCAAAAATGTCCCCCAACGGCCAGTACAGCCCTCATTTAGAACAATTGATTGGTATCGTACCCCTCACCTCCAATACCATGTTCAAAAGCAGAGGAGAAAAGCTTAATTGGAACAAGAGTGGTCAAGGGAAAAGAGTAAGTTTTTGAATTGCAGTGGTTTTTCAGTATACCAAGGGAGTGCTTGAGAAAATGTGCTTCCAAACATGTAGTAGTACTTTTCATCAGTTTTGTGGAACTACATCTAGTTTTTACTCCAAAAAGCTTTGTAAATATGAAATGCTTAATAAAAGCTGCATGCACTATTGAGTAGCATAGTGAAACTAAAATCACAGATTCTAGATAGACAGGTCCTGAGTTCAAGTCCCAATTCATTTACTTTCTATCTGTATAATTTTGGGTTAGTTGTGTTCTCTCGTCTGTAAAATGGGGATAATACCACCTACCTCCTAGGATGCTGTAAAAAAAAAATCAGAAAATATATGCTGAATGCTTAAAATAGTACCTGGCACATTGAATTCATTCAATAAATATTAGCTATGTTAGAATCTGAGGTGGTTTTTTGTAGCTAATGCAGAATATCATACACAGCTAGTACTTATCTTCTTTTTTCTTGTATAGGTGTGTTTTATAGGCAGAAGCAATGTTGGAAAATCCTCCCTAATCAAGGCTTTATTTTCACTGGCCCCTGAGGTTGAAGTCAGAATCTCCAAAACACCAGTATGTTGAAAATTTTAAATATGTTTGGACTATCTCTTGGATTAGCTGGCATGAATAAATGTTGGAAGGTATAAGAAATCATAATTGCTAAGTTCCTAGAGAAGTTATTTCTTTCAAAAAAGTAATAAAGTAAGATATTCTAATGCCTTCATAGTTCTCTGGAGAAAACGAAGTGTGGCTGGATTTATTTTAGTAGTCTCGACAGTATCTTCAGGAAATCTTACTTTACCCAAATTTTGCAAAGAGTTGCCAAATAAAATGTCTTATTGTCATTCTATATTTCCATCTATAAGAGTGATCATCTAGTTCGACACTGATTTTAGGGGAAACAGCTTTTAGGTTTTTTTGGCTTTTTCCACCTATCGTCTTTTCTAAGGTAAAAAGTACATGAATTAGTTACACACACGTTGGGCATATTCTTACGTGCTTGTTATCCCAGCCAGCCTGCTGTAATAGCTGTCATTTTCCTCTACTTTCTTCTCAATGACACAGTCTCTACCAATATCTAAGATACCCTTTCTTCAAAATCACGCCCACTTTCTCACCGTATCTGGCCATGGTAAACCTTTCCACCAACCCTAATGTTCACTATCCCTGCACGCATGCATGCAGGCACATGGCACGCGCACACACATACATAAACGCATACTTTTCATTGAGCTGGAACCGTTCCATGAAACTTCACTGGGTCTTTTCTTGCTCCCCAGTTCATATAATGATTCTCTGGCTCCACTGCTAATGATTCTTTCCATTCCTTAACCCTCCCATCCTTACTCCTGCGCTGCCTCACGAAATAAATCAGCTAAATTATCACTGCTAGGTAGAGTGATCTCCTTCCTTTCGTGAGAGAACAATGGAGGAAATGTATTCTTCACGTTCCCAACCTGTAATTCTAAAATCATTTTCCTATAGACAAATAAAGTAGGAACTTAAAATCACCATTTATAAAAATCTTTCCTTTGATAAGGAAAGATCTTCCTAAGATCCAAACAATTGACTTAACTTTTAAAATTGCCTATATAATCTTTTCTTTTCTGATTAATAAATGTCCTATGGACACAAAACTACAAATAAACCACCTCTCACCATCTTTACATCAATTTTAGTTGCACAAATATTATCATGTTGTACATGCAATAAAAATTGTTTAATGAAAGCACAAAAATCCACCTAATAAAACATGCAAAATATCTTGATTTTAGGGAAGCAATAGTCTAGGTATAAGAAACAATCAGACTTTGGATCTAGGTTTTATGAAAACATGTATGACTAATGGTAAGCATTTTAATTTATCCTTGCCGTAATTAGTTTCTCTTTAAGGTGGAGATAGATTGTTCATCAGAGAATATTGACTGATACAGTCACAATCTAGAACAGGGTGAATTTTTCACTAAGGGTTAATGAAATAGGAAAGACTCCAAAATATTTTGCCTACATGTTTCTAATATGGAATCTAAAGTTCTTAAGTCATACAGATTCTTTTTGTAAAATGAAGGAAAAAGGAGTATGTTGTAAACTTATCTCCAGCCATTTCCCTTCTGTTTTCTTTGTCATCATCAGCATAGTTAAGGTTATATGCTTGGCTTTTAATAAACATTTATTGACTGAATGGAAGAGATTTTGAATCATTAAGTAGATTGAAGACAGATTTTAAGACAGCTTTTCTTTCTCCATTTACTGTATCAGGGACACACAAAGAAAATGAACTTTTTCAAAGTTGGAAAACATTTTACGGTGGTGGACATGCCAGGTTATGGCTATAGAGCACCTGAAGATTTTGCTGACATGGTAGAGACCTACCTAAAAGAACGAAGCAAGTAAGGAAAAAATTTTCATATAATAATAGTTATACATTTAATCCCAAAGCATGTTTTCATCAGTAGAGTAATATACATATGGTCAACACTTCAGTTTTATCAAATGACTTATTTTATAAGGTCCGTTTTATTCTCATAATATTATGCAATACTTAGGACCAAGGTATGTACTGCTTGCTTGTTCACTGTCGATAATTTAGCTTACCCTTAATATTAAATTTAAGTGTTTTCTCAAATTGAGATTGAAACTAAAAAGTAATTCAGCATAGTTTGGGTTTTTTTTTTTTTGAGACCAGACCCAGGCCAGAGTACAGTGACATGATCTCATGTCACTGCAACCTCCATCTCCCAGGTTCAAATGATTCTCCTGCCTCAGCCTCCCGAGTAGCTGGGACTACAGGTATGCACCACTGTGCCTGGCTCATTTTTGTGTTTTTAGTAGAGACAGGGTTTCACCATGTTGGCCAGGCTGGTCTTGAACTCCTGACCTCAGTTGATCCGCCGCCTCAGCCTCCTGAAGTGTGGGATTACAGGCGTGAGCTACTGCACCCCAGCCCATTAGCTTTTTTTAAAACCAAACTCTTAGCTGACTGATTTTGAAAATGAAAATTATTGGTTAAAACCAGCAAATTCTGATCATTTTTAAAATACTTCAGACGTCACATCTGCTGCAAAGGTTACCTCTTGTCTCCTTATGTAGTCAAGTGATAGTTCTGTTTCCATAATTACACAATATATAGAAAATTGATGTTAATCTTTTAAAATGTAAAAAAAAAGTTTGTAAGTATCCTTGTTGTAGCTTTACATAGAGGGCAAAATCAAATATTTACATAAGAAAATGCAAAATATAATGTGTCTGGTTTCTGTTATCTGTTAGTCTTACATTAATAAGTTTCTATACAGGGCAGGCACGGCGGCTCACGCCTGTAATCCCATCACTGTGAGAGGCTGATGCGGGTGGATTACTTGAGGTCGGAAGTTCAAGACCAGCCTGGCATCATGGCAAAACACTGCATCTACTAAAAATAAAAAACAAAAAATAGAGCCGGGCGTGGTGGCTCACGCCTGTAATCACAGCACTTTGGGAGGCCGAGGCAGGTGGATCACGAGGTCAAGAGATCGAGACCATCCTGGTCAACATGGTGAAACCCTGTCTCTACTAAAAAAATACAAAAAATTAGCTGGGCATGGTGGTGCGTGCCTGTAATTCCAGCTACTCAGGAGGCTGAGGCAGGAGAATTGCCTGAACCCAGGAGGCAGAGGTTGCCGTGAGCCAAGATCGCGCCATTGCACTCCAGCCTGGGTAACAAAAGCGAAACTCCGTCTCAAAATAAATAAATAAAAAATAAAAATAAAAATTAGCTGGGCATGGTGGTGCATGCCTGTAATCCTAGCAGCTTGGGAGACTGAGGCAGAAGAATCACTTGAACTCAGGAGGCAGAGGTTACTGAGCCAAGATCATGCCACTGAATTCCAGCCTGGGTGATAGAATGAGACTCTGTCCAAAAAAAAAAAAAGTTTCTATAATTTATGGTTAATTTGATTTTTATAATTTATAATCTGTAATTTATGGCTAATTTGATTTGTGTCTCTTACTTCTCCTCAAGTTTAAGGTTTTTAGAGGTGGGAACTCACTCATTATATACCAAGTCCCAGGCAGAATGTCTTATGTCCAGTATATCCTTATTGAATTAAATGAATATTTAGTGAATTTAGTTACTGAAATTCACTAGTAAAATAAATAGAATTGAGACCTACTGGACTACAGGATAAACTTCTGGTGAATTGAGAATTCCTTTTGCCTAAACAAATTTTTTAATTTTGGATTGAGAAATATTCAAAGGAAAATTTCTTAGTATAGTAAGGAAGAGGGGATAAATAAACGGGTATATTTTATATTGCCATTAATCTTCATTTCTGCGTTATTATAGCTTGAGGAGAACATTTTTATTAGTGGATAGTGTTGTTGGAATTCAAAAAACAGACAATATTGCCATTGAAATGTGTGAAGAATTTGCATTACCTTATGTGGTAAGTACTTCCTTTGAATCATGGATGCTATGAGATATCGGTTCTATGTACATCTGTGCATACATGCACCTTTTAACAATTGAGCTTGTATTACCTCCTCAAAAAATAAAGGAGGGTGCCTTTTGAATAATCTTTTCAGTTAATCATCCATTAATATTAATTAAAGTAAGTTCTATGGCACTTTTATTCTCTTTTCCAACTCTCAGCTGTATGTTTTGAAAATTATAGTCAATAAGTAAAGCTTGCTTTAATCTGTTCATTTAATGTTCCCATGTAGTTTTCATATTTTTTTCTTTTTATAGCAACATAAATATTTGTTCAGCACAAGTCAGTAGCTCTTTAATAGCAGTTTGGTAGATAGTACTTATAAGAATGTGAATAAAACTGCAACTTAAAAATTGCTTAATTTAAAATTTTAAAATTGTTCCAAGAATATAGCAGCCTCCAACACACACAAGTAGGATTTTTATATTTTTAAATGAAACAAAATTTCTTCTGGGAATTTCTTATCAGTACTGTGTGTCTTTTGACCTAGAATAGAATACAGAATTGTAGGTTGGTATCCACATTAATTTTGCTTTGTGAGACTTCCAGATAAAATAGCACTCTTAAAGTTTCTTTCCAAAGAAAAGTGAAGAACCCAATAACTATAATTTCGGTTCAAAATCATGTCAGAAAGCCACTAATATGTAACAGTGGAGTTCAGTACAAATCACATCATGTTACTAGTTAACCACTTTTATTTTATTCTTGGGGTTTGCAAAAGTCCTGTGAAGCATTAGAGATTATTTATAGTTGTGAGGAGTCAAAGGGTTGATAGTCTACTTAGTAAAAATGCCTAAATATTGCCGAATTAAGTAAGAGTATTCCTTATTTGGTATCACAGATACCAGTTTACGAAATCATATGTTTTCCTTAATTTTAACTATAAGGAAATATTACTTTCTTTGTTGGAAAAGGAACTGGAATAGAGAAATTTTATCTGTATCTCCTTTTAAATATCAGTATGTTTGCCTTTATGAGGAAAGACTCCCATTTGTGGAGGGATTCACAGGTAATTAGAACCCACAGCCTTTCTGCTTCTCATTATGGGAAAAACACTGGAACCATGTTTTTCGTCTGCTCTGATACCACAATAGTTAACACAGAAGACTTCTGTGGCAAAATGTGTTGGGGGTTTTCCCCACCAACAAGCAGAGGACACCAGCTGAGTATATGAAAATTTGATTCTGATACTGTCTACCTGGAGATAGCATCAGATCCTACATAGTAAGGATTCTATTGAGTATTCAGTCCCCAAGACTGCCCCTCTCACCCAGCTTCAGACACTAGTCACAATTTTGGGCCTCTAGAATATCGAAACTGGCTTCAAGTCTGGGTTCCCACTACCCCCTCTTTGGGTTTAATTGCTGGAGTGGCTCACAGAACTCAGGGAAACATGTTTACTGATGGTATTATAAAGTATATTACAAAGGATACAATGAAGATGCACAGAAACTCCATATCCTCCTTGGGCATGCCACCCTCTGGAAACCTCCCTGTGTTCAGCTGTTTGAAAGCTCTCCAAACCAAGTCTTCCTGGGCTTTTATCGAAGATTCATGACATCAGCATCCTTTCCCCCGGGTATGGTGTGGGACCCTCTTGGGAATGAGGGTCATATGACCCACAATCAGAAAAGTGAGGGAAGATTACAAGTCTTATCTTGGGGCAGGTGAATGGAAGGCAGGAGGCCAGAGAGATTTTGTTTCCCAATGCCTAACACATCCAACATTATAACAAAAGATCGTAACAAGGGCTATGGGAGTTATGAGAAAGGAACCATGAACATACACCTATATATATATATATATGTATATCATGATACCACACTCTCCTGCCATTAGTATCTTTTAAGACTAAAAAGCATAAATGATTTGCCAGGAATACCTGGTGGATTAAGGTATTGGAAGAGTTTAATTGATTTTTGTAATCAGCCGTACTTTGACCCTTCTGCACTATGTACTTGTCTTTGGACAAGTAAAATTCTGGACTGACTTGGAATATAACGAGTAGCCACAACCTACAAATACCCTGAATTCTGATTTTTTCTTTAGAGTGTAGGTCAAAAACTGATTACAAATGGGCAATTTTATATAGATAAAGCCAATATTCATTTATATATCCTAAGCTGTCAGGTATATTGTGATCATCTAAACATTTGTTTATCACAATTACAAATATGACCCTTCTTATTGATCTTTCCAAGATACGATGGCCCTGTGGTTACAGCACTATCAGCAGCAAACACATACTGTATACTTGATGTGTTTCACACATTTGCTTATTTAATCTTCACAGTTCCTCCTTCATGGATTTTTGTAATCATTTTTTAGAAACATACACAGGTAACCTAGTTGTAAATGAAATATTGTAGCGAAAATGTGTAAAATTATTAACAACCACTTTCCTAATGCTTAAAAATTTGTTTTCTTGTAGATTGTTTTAACAAAGATTGACAAATCTTCCAAAGGACATCTTTTAAAACAAGTGCTTGAGATCCAGAAATATGTTAACACAAAAACTCAAGGATGTTTTCCTCAGTTGTTTGCTGTAAGGTAAGAATCGAATTGTTTTGTTTTCTATTTTTAATGAAGTAATATAAATGAGAATGTTGTGGGTTTTTAAATTTGTTTTATTTCAATAGTTTTTGGGGAACAGGTGGTTTTGGAAACATACTTTCGTGGTTATTTCTGAGATTTTAGTGCACCCATCACCTGAGCAGTATACACTGTACCCTATGTGAAGTCTTTTATCGCTCACCCCTCCCACCTTTCTCCTGGGTCTCCAAAGTCCATTTTATCATTCTTAGACCTTTGTGTCCTGATAGCTTAGCCCCCACTTATCAGTGAGAACATACAGTATTTGGTTTTTCATTCCTGAGTTACTTCACTTAGAATAATGGTCTTCACCTCCATCCAGGTTGCTTCAAATGCCATTATTTTGTTCCATTTTATGGCTGAGTGGTATACCATGAAACATTATACCACATTTTCTTTATCCACTTGTTGGTTGAATTGTTTTTATAACTTTATGTACTGAAAACCTGTAATATTATATCAGTGTTTCTTAAATTGTCACTTAAAAGGCATTTGAAAGCCAGGCACAGTGGCTCATGCCTGTAATCCTAGCACTTTTGGGAGACCAAGTCAGGCAGATCACCTGAGGTCAGGAGTCCGAGACCAGCCTGGTCAACATGGTGAAACCATCTCTAGAAAAAAAAAAAAAAAGCCAGGTGTGGTGGCAGACACCTGTAATCTCAGCTGTTTGGGAGACTGAGGCAGGAGAATTGCTTAAACCTGGAAGGCGGAGGTTGCAGTGAGCCGAGATCACACCACTGCACTCTAGCCTGGGTGACAGAGCGAGAGTCCATCTCAAAAACAAACAAATGAACAAAAAACTGTAGTATATCCATACCTGAGAAAACATTTTGGCTGATCTCCATACTGATGGATGGATGGATGGATGGATATAGGAAGACAGGTACATAAATAATATATACAATCATAGTAAATTTTTTAAAACCTGAAAAGTCTAACAAAGTAATTGAATTTTTGTTACAAAAGGAACTAACTAGAATATTTAAAAAAAAAAAAAAAAAAAAAACCCAGGCAGAATTAAAAAAGAAAAAAACTAAAAAAATCAAGACTTCTTCTGGAAAACAAAGCAAGATGGAAAGTATACGGAAATTTTTGGAATCATGAAGGAAATGGATGAAATAACATTGATCATCAGATCTTAGGATATTACACAAAGCGGCTGGGGGAAAAGAAGAACAACAGATTAAAAGATGTTCTGCTTTCATGCATGAAATCACAAGAATTTATAAATTTAAGTTGATGAATTCAGATGTTATCTCTGAGAAAAGGAGGAAAATTATTTTTTCTTTTCACAGCACTGTGACCTTTTCTGGAATCCATCTATTGAGATGCTTTATAGCCAATGTAACAGGAAATCTTGACTTAACTAATTAATAGCTCCCAGTTTAGCTGAAGATTCCCGAAGAAAAAAAGAAAGAAAAAGAAAACGCTTTCTGCTAACTGGAGTTACATACCTAGAAGAATTTCAACATTGTTTTAAATGTTGTGCATCTGTAACCTCCAGGAAGATCATTTCAGCTTTAAAACCTGCACCTTCTCAAAACAAGAATTAGCGCCTCGGGGAAAAAAAGTTTGTAAGTAATTGAATTATGGTGTCCATTAGAACGTATACCCTATTTTAACAAACTGACAGCAGCATACAGAAGTCCATAAAATGAAAACCTGTTACAACTATGTAGAGAAGGGTTTGCTGTTTTATTGGGCTTTTGTCTTTTAAAGAAAATGTCTACTATGTGTATTTTTTAAAAAATATTAAAATAGGCTAAGTAAAAGGAGGTGCTTTTCTTTTAAGCATCAATAGGTAAGTTGATGAATATATGTTCCTATGTAAGCCTGTTTGAGTCCTTATTTGAATATTGAAAACGTTCTTGATGTTTTCAAAAGAACAGAATTCAAGTTCCAGTTCTGATTTTTATTATGTATGTTGGATCTTGGGCAACTTACTTGATTTCTCTGAAATTCATTTGTTACTCTAAACTTGAAAGCTATTAAGAATGAAATGAATGGTTTTACAAAAGGTAACATGTGAGGAGACAGCTACACATTTGTAAAGCCAAACCAACAAAGAAATACAGAATTCACAGGTAGATTTATCACATGAAATGTCCTTTCATAGAGGAAGTAACATTTTCAGTAGTGAAAAATCGAAAAACAAAAATAGCTTTAAGTGAGAAAACTATTTGCAAAGGGCAAGAGAAAAAAGCTGACAGGACAGTTTCGACTGCTACATTTAAGGTTCAGAATGGAAAGATAAAGCCTTTCAAATAAAGTTAATAGAAAAAATTTTTGTGAAGGTGCCACTGACCTATTCATGTAAGTGGCTTAGTTTTTCAAAGTGAAGCTGAATAGTAAAAGATTATAGCTGTATTGCTGGATAAAAAAATTAAAGCTATAAACCAACTTTGTGGCTTTTTTCAGAAAACTCAATCTGAATATATTGTCATTTGTTTCATAGTTCATGGAATTGGTCTAATTCTAACCAGCAGTGTTTTCAGCTAAAAAGATTTTTTAATATAGGCATTCATAAAATACAGTGACAAGAATTTTCTTACAAGTCATCTATTTGTCTGCCAGTGTTACTCTACTGCTTTGTCTTATTTTTGGTTCTATAAGCAGAGCCTGAGCCAAAAGCTTACATATGTAAATTTGGAAAGTGATCCCAGGGAACAGTAGCAAAATGAAACAAGACAGACAAGCCTATTAATGACATATTCATTGAGTTAGCCAAAACATAGGCACTAGTGCTAGATCTTGAGGGAACATCTGAGAAGTCTTAGGAAATACTGTTCTACATACACATCAAGTGAGCAGGTTCTATGCAGCCTAGCCCCAAAGGCTCAGGGTGCTGAGATGCCAAAGAGGCTGACAAACCGAGTTTGTCAGAAACATTTAATAGGGACTTCTGCACAGAAGCTACGTCTCAGGCAGTGATGAGACAGTGGATCCCCGCAGTTACCCCCAGACCCAGGGCTTATATGCCATGCAGAAAAGGGCATACATGCTTCAGAAGGAACATGTGAGACACTGAAGTCAACCCTCAGGGAAAGGCAAGAATGCTGTGCACAGCATAGCATATAATTTGCTTAAGGCCAGGATTTACAGTGAGTGTATTTTAATAGTACATAAATGTAGAAATCTTAGAGGCATTCCTGGAACAAGTTATCAGAAGTCAACATGATAGATTAGCATCCCAGATGGAGTTGTTTTAGCTTCACACTGTGCCTCTTTCTTTGAGGAGGGGATGGGGTGACCCCACACCTCTTCCAGGTTGTACATACTCAAGTGCCAGGCAATTCCTACAGCTGGTCAGAAGCTCAGGGGCAGGAAGTGAGAAGTCCCCAGAGCAAAAGGCAAGGTTCAGCCCTACCTGAAACTGGTTGCCACAGCAGTGACTTTAATAAGAAGGCCAAGAGAATTTGAAGTGGCACACAAGAGGTCTCAAACACTGTTCTTATGACTTGTATGTCCAGAAGTGATAAAGCTGCTACTCACTAGGGCGTGGATAATCCCAGCACTTTGGGAGACCAGAGTGGGTAGATCTCTTTGAGTCCAGGAGTTTGAGACCAGCCTAAGCAACATGGTAAAACTCCATCTCTACAGAAGTTTTTTTTTTTTTTTAATTAGCCCTATGGTCCATAAAGCTATACACCAGTTATCTTACTAATTTACCTTCCATTTCCTAATAGGTAAAGGAAATATACTGAACACGGGACACTTAGAAGTTAATGGCCTTTCTAGACTTCTCTGGAATGAAATCTCCTTAGTATTGTCCATATTTTAAGCCACTAAATAGCTACTATCACTTGGTAAGCAGCAAAAAGGAATATGAAAAGTGACTAGAGATTAAGAATTAAACCAGTTTACTTAACAAGGCTTCAGGAGAGAAGTTAAAGCAGTGTTGATATAACTGGATTTGGGGCCACTTGCATCAAAATCACTTGGGATCCTTGTTAAAAATCCAGGTTTCTGGCCTGTTTATCAGTCTCTGGGAAAGGGCTCATCTGCCACCAGGTGATTCTCATAAAGTCTAACGTTTGAGAACCACTGGTAGAGATAACTGGGAAAATGCAGAAGGCAGACAGGGAAGGAAGAAAGCCAAATTAAGAATGGAAGGGAAATAAAAGGATGGTTGATGAATGGAAGGATGCCATACATACTGAGGTACTGCTTTCTTTTTCTTTAAATCTCTATGTAACAAAAGTTAAAGGCATGACAAAAGCTTATTAACCTAATTCTAGAAAAGTTAGAACACTGGAAAAGTACCTACCTCGAACTTCACATCATTATTTGAAAATACTTAAGATGTACTCCCTCAGAGAAATAGTATAAGCAACATCCCCTATCAGATGACAGCATCAGCACCAAATTATAAATGTGCTAGCCTCATTCCTGGGTCTAGTTTATGTCTCCTAACGTGATTTTCTCATTTTACTTTCTCAACTACCTGTTGTCCTGTTATATTTCATATGTTACCATGAACCACTTTATATCCTTTTTGTAAAAAAGGTTTATTTGGAATCAATCACTGGCACCCAAATAAAGAAACTTAAAACTTCTTGGAGAACTCCAAACTCACTTTAATATAAGATGAACAAATGAACAGGAATAATGGTTGCAACCAGACCCTGGTAATACAAGCAGTGGCAAAGCCTGATGACCAATTCCAATATTTAAACAAGACAGCACAAGTGTCAGGAGCTACAAACTTTAGTGTTAAGAGGCAGACCTATCTACAGTGGAGCCAATAAGGCCAAAGTGACCTTTCAGGTGTTTCCTTGCTATTCCTCATCCTCCCTCCTCATCTACCTCAAAGCACAATGGTTTTTGCAAATGGTTCTTAAACTGCCTGGTAAGTCATAACATTGTTCACTTTCTCAGGGACTTACTAGCCTCACTCAAGGAAAAGGCAGACTGTGGCAGACTTTTCATCTTAACACTTGGCATGTGGTTGAAGCCAAAAAGAAGTACTTGATAAATGGCACCGTGCTACTTTGAATGTACACGTAACTGAAATGGAATGAACTCCTTTGCAGGGCTGCACTAAAGCAGCTCCTGTGAGTCCAGTTGGTACTTTCAGATCTCAGCAGTTCCATTTAAAACGCAACACTGAACTAGCCTTGATCACTTGTAAGTTGATCAGTTCTAAGTCTCATGTATGAACATCTAAACTCCTATTAAAGCAAAAATATCATCAATGTCATCTGTCTTCTTAATGGTTCTTAATGTACTGTTTTCATTTATTTGCATCACTGTGTACGAATCGGTTTCATTTTCATGGATGCCGCTAAGATTTTCATGAATCATTTTCTCCTTAGTTTGCATGACAGTCACTGAAACTCCACTACTCAAGCATTGCTTACTGTTAGGATAGCGATTAGTTTTACGCACAGTACAGTGTGCGAGTCTCCACTTAGCACCACCATCTGCCGCAACATTGTGAGTCCCTTTAGGGAACTGCTGAATTTCCCTTGAAAGAGTCGACTGCAGCTTTCTCTGTGGTTTCCTTTGTCTCTGTAAGAATTTATTCTGTGATCTCTGTCTCAGATGATGCTTCGAAACTTTAATACCTGAGCCACGAAGAAGGCAGTTGCAAACAGACGTCTTTATGCAGTCTAGTTTCTTCGGCAAACTTCCAAGGACAGAGAGAGGAAAAATCTGGTCTTAAAATGCAGAAAAACATTCTCAAGCACTTTTAATTTACCAAGTGAAAAGAAAAATACACAAGTCATCTACAAGTCCAGTGCCTGTGTACAATCCCAGAACCACATCGAAAAATACTGTTTCACCCCAAATCTGTTTTTCTTCAGAACACAAATGTCCTGATTGAAATGTAGACGAATGTGTCCCCATTTTGCTTTGAAACTCTCAGAAGTACAGCTGCCTAGAAATTAGCTGAATGCTGAGATACTTCCATACTTTAGTGTCATAGCTTTTCACTCATAACTGCTAATCTGTTCATAATGTAAGGACTGCACATGAGGAAACATCACATATGAAAAAATGCGAAAGTACATATTTATCCAAATCTGGATAATCAACTTCATGCTGTGGCAGAAAATGAACAAAGAAAAAGGAATAAAGGCTAAGAGTTTATAAAACAATGTGAAGACAGGACTTCTGGCCCAGACACACTAACAGCCGTACGCTACCCTTATTATGATTAATATGTCATCTTCAAGTTTGGAAATTCAGAACTCCAACAGCTGATCATTTTAGATGTTTTGTTTCCACATGGGGTAAACTGCCACAAGGTTTATCTGTGTGTTGCTCAATTGTTTCATTGTTTGTGATAGATTTTAAAAGACAAGCATGGATAGAAAACTTTGAGGAAGCCCATTATAATAAAGTAAACCATGCTCTCTGCTTCCAAGCCATTTTCTTATCTTACTATAAGCAGTGACTTTTAAGTGAGGAGAAGGTGGGTGTATTTCCAAGTTGAAAGGAAAACAGAGGGCCTGAATTGAGTTCCACACCTAACCTCTTGAGCGAAATCCTCCATTTACCCATCTATGAAATGGGAAACATACTGTGTACCTCACAATGTTATTATGGACATTCAATAAATTAGAGTTTACTACAAATATCTGAATGAAACAGCAAAACATGGCAATATGAAGAAGCACTATATCAGGGGGAGTACTGAATAATGGTTTAACCAGTAAACACCAGTTTGCTACCCTTCTGATTTAACTTTTAGTTGTTACCTCTGCCTCATCTCCCCTTGATTTTAAACCCTTTTGTTTTGTTTTGTTTTTTTGACGTGGAGTCTCGCTCTGTCACCCAGGCTGGAGTGCAGTGGCACAATCTCAGCTCACTGCAACCTCTGCCTCCTGGGTTCAAGCAATTCTCCTGTCTCAGCCTGCTGAGTAGCTGGGATTACAGGCATGCACCACCATACCTGGCTAATTTTTGTATTTTCAATAGAGCCGGGTTTTCACCATGTTGGTCAGGCTGGTCTCGAACTTCTAATCTTGTGATCCCCTAGCCTCGGCCTCCCAAAGTGCTAGAATTACAGGTGTGAGCCACCACGCTCGGACTTTAAACCCAATTTTAAACAGAATGCTTCTCTACATCTCAGACTGCATTTTCAGCCATAGAATAGATCACTTTTAGGTTATCACAGAGCTTTAGAGGACCCACCTCAATGTAAAAACCCCTCAAGCACTTTATCCCTTAGGAATATTCAACCACCACTTTCCCATAGCTTCTAATCAAAATGTGTTACAAAACCCTCACTGTATGTATTTTTTTTTTCTGAAACAGGACTATCTTTTCTGTAAATTAAAAAAAAAATTAACACATTTTCAATAGTTGGTTCATCCCCAAGAATGAATTTTGAAGCCCTGAGTACCTGTTAGCTAATATCCATAGCTAACTATGGATAACAAACTATGGGGTATGCACAGGATACTTAAATAATACAGTAAAAAGCAGGTCAGGTGGAATAGGCCTTAATACCTATTTGTGTCTGAAATAGTTACCATTAAGCCCTGAAGTGTCTAATGTCTAACTTCATGTAATGCTTGATGCAATGCTGGTTCACAAGCAAAGATAAGCACCCTTAAACAGTTCTGAATATAAAAATCACAGAAAAGAAATCAATATATAGAGTGTCCAGCTGCTACAAACAGCAAACCTGACCGTGACCCCAGCGGTCTGGCATGGGCCTCATAGGAGGCAGGCACCTTCTGCTTCTGCTCTCATACCCTTATCCCATTGCACTGAAGCTGTCTGCAGCAAAGCTGCCGTTGCCCACAAGACCCCGAGCTCCCTGAAGGCCAACTCCTGTCTTTACGCAGTGTACCCTCAGGCTCAGCACACTACACATTCTTAATGCTTCTTGAATGAGCAAAGAGCATAAATGACTGAAGTCCAATTAACCTGTTTATCTTCTTCCTCCAATGATATACATGGCTTTGCTCTTATAACAAAAGCAGCAAATGCAACTGCAGTTTGACGACGTCCCACTTCAGCCCTGATGTCCTGCGGCTGCTGGACATCACATTTTAAAGAAAAGAGACCTGAAATAGACTTCTACTCATAACAACAACAGAAAAAGTAAGGAAACATAAATTTTGTAATACACATACCTAGTACCTTGAGCTTCCAGATGTTTAAGCCGGTTGCTTTTAAGAAGTTTGTTACCCAGAAAAATGGCCTGAGCTTTGAGTTTTTTGTTTCTGCACCATACAACTGCCATTTGGATTTCTTCAGAAAGTTGTGTGAAAGACGCAGCCTCTCGGAATCTTTGTACAAAACTTCTGACTTGAATTGCCATTACTTTCTGAGAAGAAGGCTTGGTTGTCTTTAGTTTAAAATCAGAGCTGGTCTGAAATGTGAAAAGATGAGAAAAATAGGACATGTTACTGACTTGTAATTATACGACAACAGGGAAAGCTAGCTCACAATCAAAATTTAAAAATTAGAATGATGAGTCCTTAAATGCTTGAAGTGATGGCTACGCCAATCGCCCTGTGATTATTAGGCACTGTATACCTGTAACAAAGTATCTTATGTACCCCATAAATACATACACCTGCTAAGTAGCCACAAACATTTTAAAAGATGAATTATTTATCTTAAGGAAGTTTTCCTCATGTCTTTAAAACCTGAATTTTTCTCCACTGCTCTAAATACAAGTTGTTTTGTTTTCCCCTCTGTACCAGGACAGGTTCCATCTGCAGCTGAGTTAGATGGAGACAGGAGAGTTAACATAAATATTCTAACACACGTATCTCACACACACAACAATAAAACCTACATGATTAAATACTGGCAAAAGCCTAACTGCAGGGGGGTAGGGGTGGGGTCACTGAAAGGCCCTTCTCCTCTACATCACTAAACTACCACAACTTGTTTTTCACTTATTTCCATATCCTGAGCAAACATCTTCAATGTTAGAAATGTTTCTGAAAACAGGACAGACATGGGGCCCTGCAAAGTGCCCAGCAGGGTAGGCACATTCATCAGCTAATGACCACTGAACATGTTAAAAATGCTCAACTGAGCAACATTCCAGCTCTACTTCAACCATCTTCTGACAAGGCGCCTTTACTTCTTCAACCCCTTCTTTCTATAATCAAGTCACATTTGGATTTTACTATTGTTTACTGTTTTGTTTTTGAGACAGAGTTTCGCTCTTGCTACCCAGGCTGGAGTGCAATGGCACCATCTCGGCTCACCGCAACCTCTGCCTCCTGGGTTCAAGCAATTCTCCTACCTCAGACTCCCAAGTAGCTGGGACTACTGGGCGTGCGCCACCATGCCCAGCTAATTTTTGAATTTTTGGTAGAGACAGGGTTTCACCATGATGGTCTCGATCTCTTGACCTCATGATCCACCCGCCTCGCCTCCCAAAGTGCTGGGATTATAGGCGTGAGCCACCGCGCCCGGCCACGTTTACTGTTTCTTTATGAAAATATGCTACCTACAACATGATGTGCTCTATCTTTCTGCTTACCGTCTTCCAAATTTCTTACACTTTAAAAAGAAGTATAAAATATGAAAGTAACAACCCATGTCAATAGTTTATGTTTGGTCATCAACAGAAGTAGCTTGCTTTAAAAGCAAGCTAAGCGTGTTAGTGCGATTTGCGAAAAGTATAGTAGCGATTAGTCTTGAATAAGAGGGATGCTGACCCACCAACTTCAAAACCAGCTCACCTACAAACAGGTGCACAGGCAGCAGAAGTTTCAAGGCTCACAAAGCACCACAGTTCTTGAGACACAGTTGAAAAACTATTCTGGGGACTGGTGAATGGTAATGAAGAGAGACTATGAAACCACACTGCCTGCACTCAAATCGCAGCTCTGCCATTTATTCATTGTGTGGCCTGGCCAACCTTCTTGGCCTATGTCTCAGTTTCCTCATCTGAAATATGAAGAGAGTAATACGCATGCCCACCTTACAGAGCTTTTGTGCTATTAATAATTATAGGACTTCATGCATGTAAAGCACTTAGAACAGTGCCTGGCACAGAAAGTATTATTCCTCACTCTGAATGCACAAATTGGACAGCACGTCAATGGAAGATGGAGTCCTTAAAGTTCAAGAGAGTACACTTGAGGATTCCTGAAGGGAAGTATAACCCATGAAGAATACCAGAAGTAAAGGCACTTTGTAAAGACGGGGTTAAAAAAAAGTCAAATTACTGAGTAAAACACTAACGCTCTGATATACTTATATGCTGTTAGGCTCCGAACAGAATTTACAGATATGAATAAATCATGTTAAAACTTGAACCTCAACAAGAGTAAAGGAACAGCTTCATGACAAATGACGAGGATGATGACCCAAATGATGGCAGTAGCTAACATCTAACTCCAATGAAATGCTTACCATACTCCAGACTCCTGAACACTCTACCTGCATTAAACTGGCACAGCCCTAGGAGGCGCATATCACCATTACAAAACAGAGATACGAAGAGATCAGGAAACTTACAGAAGGTCACACAGCTGGTACCAAAGCCAGGATTCAAACCATCTGTCTGACTGCAAAGCCTATATGCTTCACCTGCAGCACAATCCATACTTAGTGATAGATCATGCAGTTCCTTTAAAATTCTAGAGAAACTCCTACTAAAACATTTTTAAAGGTACTCTATTAACTAAATTAACTGGACGTATTAAAAATCCCCTGCCCCTATTCATTCAGAAGCAAACAGTGACAATAAGAAGGCATTAAGCATAGAGCTGGGATAAAATGAGAAAATTCAATCTCTGCCCTTGGTAAGAAGCATCCTCTGCAAATCAGCAGAAATCATAAGCTAAATTTAATGAAGCCAGACAAACCTGAGAAGCTTTGTTTTTCAGCTGGTTGCAGAAAGCCCTCACATCAAATTCTGATGACTTTTCTGTGGAGGTGGAAAAATTGTAGATAAAAAAAACTCAGGTACACTATTTTCAAATCTACAACAAATTCTTAAGTGCACGACATTTCTTGCTAAATTACTACATAAGATATAAAGAAATAAAGGAAGCAAAAAAACTAGAAAGCAACTACAGAAATAAACAACTTTAAGTACTCAAGCTTAGAAGGCATAGGTATTACAGTACCTCTCTAAAGATAATCAATGTGGGTCAAAATTAAGATGTGAGATGTTGAATGTTTCTCCATGCAGTGAAGGATTATGCTTTCAACAGAGTTTATTTGTTTTTTTACTAGAGTATGTGCTGTATCAAAGCAAATTACCTCTGAAGACTTTCTTATTCCTTACTGGCTGTCCAATATCCTCATTATTCTGTCTATTTATCTTCATTTGTTCAGCATTTTTGGAAATTCCAAGTAAGGTTTCTTCAATGGCCTTTGGTGACTGCTCACTTATTAAAAACAGTTTATTTAGCCATTTAGTTATTCCTCTAGCTGCAAAAGCTGTAGGTATTTCTTTCTTAAAGACTTCAAAAAATGGCTCTCCTAAAAATTCAACGATATCAGAAGGAAAGGTAAAATCTTTGAAGTAAGGCTTTGGTTGAATCCTAGAGACCTCTTGAAGCAATCCAAACAAAGTCTCGTAGAACAAAATCAACCTTTTTAAAACACCTTTATAGAGAACCCTAGAGAAAGAAACAAAAGTTGATTAGTCAGTAATTACAATTTGCAGATTACATAAAAAAACTTGCAAGATTAAAAGCTGAAAATAAACGGCTATCAAGGTCTTCTGGTATGTATAAAAAAACACTTGCAAACAGCCAGATTAGTCCAACACAACAGAAAAATCCCAAGTATAAAATGTTACTCAAGACCTGGCGCAGTGGCTCATACCTATAATCCTAGCACTATGGGAGGCCAACGTGGGCAGACCACTAGGTCAGGAGATCAAGACCATCCTTGGCCAACATGATGAAATTCAGTCTATACTAAAATACAAAAAAAAATGAAGCCGGGCATGGTGGTGCACGCCTGTAGTCCCAGCTACTGGGAAGGCTGAGGCAGGAGAATCACCTGAACCCAGGAGGTGGAGGTTGCAGTGAGCCAAGATCTCACCACTGCACTCCAGCCTGGTGACAGAGCAAGATTCCACCTCAAAAACAAAAAAAACTTACTCAAAAAACCATAGGACAGTCCACCAGGAAAAACATATTTATATTCAAAAACAAAGTATTACATGGAGAAATGTACAAAAGGATGCATATCAAAGTCTTAAGTGTGATTTTATCTAGATGGTGAGATTTTAGGCAAACTTCAGGTTCTTTACATTTTTAATTTCTTAAAATAGGCATGTATTATTGTAATTAGCAAAAATTAATGCTATTTTCATTGCAGAAAAGTTTGAAAGGTTTAGCATTTTAAAATAATATGATTAGTAATCAAACACTGTTATCTCTGATTAAGAATAAGGATAAAAAACAAAATGATAGGAAATAGTACTTGAGATAAACAGGTTAAGACATCAAAACATTTTCTATCTCTAAACACAGAAAAACTTTTCTTTCTTCCCCTCCCAGTGTTTTCTTACATTCATATTAGAGCTAATAATCTTAATTGCTTGAAATAGCAGAAAACAGGCCTTCTTATGAATACAAATTCTAATCATCAGATCAGTTTCACAACACGTACTGAGAGACATACAAAGGACATCTCTTTAGTTTACAAGTATTACCGGCGTACATTAACTAAATATGCTTAGAAAAGCAGTGGTGTTTCAGGTAGCACATAAGAAGGTCAAAAACCCTAGTTATCATTGCCATTTAAAATTAGAAACCAAGTGACAGAAAGCATCAAGTGATATAGGCAGCCCAGGAATAGCATCGCTTTAAATGGCCTGTGTGACTACTGCCAACCATCATTTATTACTGCAATTCCCAGTCTGAGACATTAATTTTTTTTAATGCTCAATACAGGTCCACTGATGTTTCACTACAACCTCCCATGACCCAGATTTCAGTGTCACACCAGTCACTCCCGGTTGTTTTAGTTGCTCAGTGTTGGGCTTATCTTGTGGACTGAGATATAGAGCCCACTCCTCTGACATAACCATCAGCACTTGGCTTCCCATCTACCCCCAGAAAACTCTGATCAAATCAAGAAAGAGAATACCTGCACCTTCCATAACCCCATAGGAAAGTTAAGTTTGAATACTACTACTAAGAAACTAGGCTGACAGGAAATGAGAAAGAAATGAAGGATTTCAGAAGTATGTACATACCATAGCCTGCTCACCAGCCCTACTATCACAAGGTTTAAAATAATGAACTCTTGCAAACCTAGATGTTTCACAGTCCAGCTGGAAGATCAATTTAAGGCGGGAAAACAAACCAAAGTTAATTTGAGTTTTGTAAGTTACAATCATGAATGAAGAAATATGTTAGACGTAAAGAGAATTTTCTCTTTTTTTTTGAGATGGAGTTTTGCTCATTACCCAGGTTGGAGTGCAATGGCGTGATCTTGGCTTACCGCAACCTCTACCTCCTGGGTTCAGGCAGTTCTCCTGCCTCAGCCCTGAGTAGCTGGGATTACAGGCATGCGCCACCACATCCAGCTAATTTTTTGCATTTTTAGTAGAGACGGGGTTTCACCAAGTTGACCAGGATGGTCTCGATCTGTTGACCTCGTGATCCACCCGCCTTGGCCTCCCAAAGTGCTGGGATTACAGGCTTGAGCCACCGTGCCCGGCCGAGAATTTTCTTAAAGTATTAAAGCCTTAAATCATGTTCTATTTAAGAATTTTAAACTTTAAAATACGGTAATAAACACTCTGCTAGTGCTCCTATTATTAAATTTAATTCTTAAAGTTTAGTTTCTAAGTTTAAGAATCTCTAGCCATCAATGCTTTTAGATAATACATGCTGAACAGTGACAGGCAGTCTCTGGCAATGGCCACATCAGGTAATTCCTGAGAAAAGGAGGCCAAGAAGCAAAAGTTTAAGAATTCCTAAAGGTTATAACTCCTGTCAAGTATTAGCTTTCAAACAAAACTACTGTTAAGTATATCCAAACAATTTCAATTCAGAAGAGGGTGTATTTTAAGAGATTCCAGGATACAGAAATGTTTTGCAGCAGCAGTCCAGCAAGCGAAGCAGCAACTGGCAGGCTCCCAAAACCTTCATCAACACCACCTCCAGCACTGGCTGACCAGGGACAGCACTGGTATTTACGGGCTGATTTTTACTTGGGGGAAAAAAAAAAAAAAATAGTAAAAGTACATTACTTTCATTAAACCAAACAAAAAAAAGGTTTATTTTACATTTACCACTTTATTATAAAGGATATGACAAAAGATTCAAATAAAGAGATGCATAGGGCAAGGTATGGCAGAAGGGGCATAGAGCTTCCATGCCCTCACTGAGCGACCCTTCACATACATGTTCAGCTATCTGCAAGCTCCCATTACTTTTTAAAATATAAAACAAACTATAGTTTTCAAGTGAAGACTTGCTTTAAGGTCAGTTTGAAGTAGTTATATGCAGTAACAGCCCACTGATGTTTTAATACAATCTCCCATGACCCAGAGTTCACACTCGTCACTCCCCATACACCAATGTCAGAAGATTACCACAAACACCAGGTGCCCCATGTTAAAATTTATACAGCTGAGGTATAATGACTATATTCCAACACCAAGCATAGAGAAATCAAAGGGAGATCACAAGACATCGAGTTCCCAGCCCACCACATCACAAAGCAACTGGACCACTTACCTGGGAAAAAACAACTCAAACAGGTCTTGAATTGAACCTGCCAAATTCATGTTTTTCAAACGTTTTAAACATTGCTCAACCTGAAAGAAGAAGAGCAGCTCAAATTCATGTGTATGTAATGCAGACATGGTCACTGATTATGACCAGGAAAGGGAAGAGTTCTAGATTTTCAAAGTATGGAAATATGCTAAATACCAGAGACTACCTTATTTTTTTCAGGGTAGAGAAATCCAAAGTGCAGGCAATTGTTTCTGGTTACAAATTTGGCATTTATCCAGCCAAACAAATTTTTTAAAATCAGGTGACTCCTAAGAAATTAGCATATGCCACAATGAGCTTGATGTTATAAAAGGGACCAAAATGAGTGTAGACTATTCTCAAGATTATAATTTTGCTGAGGCAACATGATTTTTAATAGTGAAACTACTCAAACAAGATACCACATTATTAACTACTAAATCTCAACAGTCTATAAAGTACCAGATAAGGAAAATGATGGGCTTTAAACCCTGAACAAATATATTCCTTGAGTATATGGAGCTTGTTCTTATGTTCCTCTGCATCGTCCCTCTTCCTCCCTTCTCTTTCTTGAGTTTTTCCCCTTGTTTCCTTTTGAACCATAGTTCACTTACTGTATTTTCCAAGTGCTTTACCATCTTGCTTTGTCAATACCTCCCTCAAAGGATGGTGTCCAGACTTGAAAACTGAAAGATAGGAGCTGACCCTAAAGAATTGAAGGATTGTTCTCTCCATTGTTCTGAAAACCGCTGTTAAAACAATCCATAACCTTGGTTCAATTTCTACAAGTATATTTGCAGCTCTAGCAAGATACTCTTGTTGCCATTGCCCACCCCCATATTTTTCTATCTGTCTAGACGCAGTCTTATGCTGCCCTTTGTGTGGTATTCTTGAGGACTACAGAATTCCTACAGCATTTTGTACAATGCATGGCTCTTAGCTTTTTTAAAAAAAAATTTTTAATGCTACTGAGTGCCTACTGAACACTGTTCTAAGAACTGGATCACAGTGGCAAACAAAAGGAACAAAACATATTGGCCTTGTGGAGCTTCCATTGTAGCTGGGAGAGAAAGGCAGTCAATCAATGGTAGGCGGTGGTAAGTTCCATGGAGAGAAATAGGGCAAAAAGGGAGAGCTGAGAGAATTGCAATTTTAAATAGGGTCTGTTTTTTATTTTAGCATTTAGTTAATATTTTACATGTCTTCCTATTTTTACTACTAGATTTTTAGCAACTAGAGATAGGGAAGTTTCTAATACCATTTTCTCTCCCAGCATGCCCTACATGTTCTCAACAGAACAGGAATCAAGACTGTTTTCTGTGTGCCATTTAGGGGAACGTCTACTGACATGAGAGTTCTCTGTGAACTGAAATGTTAGGCAGTGATAAGACAGTAAGTAGTACATGTGGTAATAGCAGCCGCAGCAGCAACACGAGCATGAACCATGTTTCCCACCTCAGGGATTACACAGAACATAAAATAGATACACAAATAACTTTACCACAACACAGACTGTATTAAATGCTATCAGAGAAGTACAAAGAGCAGGCCCAAACAGCCAAGAATTAAAAAAAAAAAAAAAAAGAATTCAACTTCAGTAATAATCAGAAAAACACAACTTAAAAATGAGATTAATACAGACTATCACTGCCAGGAAGGCTTAAAATGGGACTCAGAGGATAGGAAGGCCTTTTAACAGGCAGACATGGAGAGGCTGGGCATTCGAAACATACAGAACCAGGTGAGCAGACTCAGAAGGAGGAACCAGCAGTGAGCATGTAGGTGCATTAGGAGTTCAGGTTAGCTGGAATAAATAAATGCCCCTGAACGTGAGAGAAAAGCCTGAGCTAAGAAAACTGAAGAGGCCAGATCACAGATCTCGTAAGCCAAGCTAAGAAGTTTGATCTTTACTCAGGACACAATGGAGAACCACTCAAAATCAAAGTTGTATTTTCAGATGATTAACCTGGTTTTCATATTTAGAATATGCCAGAGCTTAGGAAAAGCTGAAGGAGGAAACACCAGTTATGACAGTAAGATAACTAAAAGTTGACAAGGTCTCAGAAAGGAAAATGGCAGCCAGAACTGAAGAGGTGACCAAAAGCAGAGGAAGTTTTGCCTTATGGACTGCCCAGATGGGAGAGCTACATAAAAGAGAGAGACTAGAGAACACCAAATGTTTATGACCAGGTGATTATTTACAACTGGAAGCTAGAAGCAGAAATACATTCATTTTGAGGGTCAGCAAGCTTAATTTGGATTAAAAAGAATCCGAAAAAAAGAAAAGCCACCATAGACTAGAAAATTTAGGAAAAGACCATGATCCAGATCTCTCTTTGATAAAATCTGCATCCTTTTCACTTTAAGAACTAGGGGTAGAAGACTAACGAGAAGGCACGCATCTATAAGATTAGAGACTGCATCTTTTTTATTCCTGTATAAAAAGCACTACGCGTGCCTGGTACACAGAAAGTTCAAAAACACTTGCAAGGTGGCCCTGTCACACAATGGATAGCCCTCTGACCTTCTAGAAAGTACCTGCAGAATTAAGGGAATGAATGAATGAGCATATAAGGAAGCCAGCTTAAGAGGCTCTACTCTATGGTGTAGCCCGAGCTAGAGGGCCCAATTTTGTCTTAAATTCCAGATGCTACATGAAACCAGTTTACAGCACAACTTGCTATATGCCCATTTTCTCTAACATACCACCAATTAGATTATGTACCCCCCATCATAAGTAAACAAACTTGTTCTTTTTATAATTTTAGCATTTTGATTATGCTCAGGGAACTGTTTCTTAATGTCCAACACTTTGTATTGCTCAAATCATTTATCTTTGAGCTGGGCAAAGGCACTGTTGTTACAGATAGTATATAATGAAGACAACACTTAGTCACCCATTAGAAACAAGACTGGGAAAGACTTAATCTAAACGTACTTCTTTTCTAACAAAAATTATTTTGAAATGCTTTCAGGAAAAAAAAAAAAGCCCCCACGTAACTCTGGGCTATAGACCTATATATCACAAATAATTTACTGAGAGTCCCATAAATAACAAAATAGTAAGTGGCAGTGTGATCTACATTTTCAAGTGAGCAGGCTGGGTCTCAACTACAGGGCTTCCTCACCTGTTTGAGGGCCAAATGGGATTTGTGGCGGCCCATTCTGTTGTGATTGCTATAAAGGACTGTACATAACACATCTGTTTCTGCATCTAAGGCTCGGCTCTTCAGCGCTGCTGTGACGAGATGGCATTCTTTAATTACACCTGCAATCCAAAGGTCTGAAGCAGACATTTAATGAGATTTAGTATGTATTTCTACATTAAGTACTATTATATTAACACACTGAAAGAAGCATCTTTCCTTATTTGTTCTAAAGGAATCAAAAACTAATGTCATCAGTCTCAACTGTAAGAACATAAGGATTCTAAGCATAAGAAAAGTTGGAAAATGGTAACAGATGATATAAAGTCCAGGAAATCATTAAGATAAAATCTGGTAAATAAGAATCTACATCTTCACATTGCATTTTATCATGGTTTAATAATCTTTCATATGAATACTGTGTGTCAGTCACTGGGTGTACACTTAACGCCTCAAGTGTACACTTACACCCCCACCTTGAAGGTGGGGCGCAAGTCACAACATGGGTAATACTACTCTAACTCCACATGTTGCTATGCCCGAAAGCAAGACAGAATGGATAAATTCAGTCTTCAAAATCAAGGGTTCTGTGTTTGTATATCACTTTAAGAGAGAGACAAACATATTCGGAAAAGAAAAACCACCACAGAAACTGGAAATCATATTTGATGAACGACTGACTGAACACCAGGTGCTCATCAGCAGATGCTACCTAGCCTGAAAATCTGTAGCACTCCATAAACTCGAAGATGTATTTCATGTGCTATTTATGCTATTTATGGCTCTAAGGGCAGCACTAGCATTCCAGGGGGAAGTAAAGGCTGGTTGCTACCTAACAAGAATTTTCCTGTCCCAACAACTCTCTGAAGACAGAATGGGCTGCCTCGGGGATGGGTAGTGAGTTGGTGATTTCCCGTGCCTAATAGGAATTGTTAAAGAATAGAGAAAAAGGGAAGATTGACCTGTAAAGTGCGTAGAAGGTTAGATGAGATGATCTGATAGATGGGATAATGTGCAAAGCGAGTAGGATGGATAGATGGGAAAGAGGATGTGATGATCTAAGCCAAGCTTGTCCAACCGCCTTGTTTTGTTGTTCTGTTGTGTTCTGTTTAGTTTTGGGCTTTTTGCAGCCTGAAGCCATGGTTTTCAGTTCGTCTCTAGGGAAAAGAGGGATGAGGAAGGGGCTTTACTGGCCCAACCAGAAACAAACTAAGAACCCATGACTATTCTCTCCCTTGGGCCCCGGATCTAAGTAGTTAACATTCATCGTAGCTACCATTTGAGCGCCCATTAACCATGGCAGGCAGTGTTCCAAATGTTTTCTTCTTAATACCAACTCTTTCATCCCCTGAAACAGCCCTATGAGGAGGGTGTTATTTTTATCTCCATTTGAAAGCGAGATCAATGAGGCACGGAAAGGTTCAATAATTCCCCCAAACTCCAGCAAAGGGTAGAGCTAGTGTTCAAACCCAAAGAATCTGGCTCCTGCGCCAGGCTTCTACCTACTACGTGCTCTACACCGTAACAATACCATCCATTTGGGTGGTAAAACACTGCCGCTTACAGAGCACTGGCTCCTAAATTATGTCATTAGGGATTCCCAACGCCCCAGTGAGGGGTAGGAGGAGTAGCTCCATTTTACAGATAAGCAGATGTGTCCCGGTGCTTAGGTGACATCCTCCGCTCCTCGGGGGCAGGGGGCAGGAAAAGGACGGAAAGCGGAATGGACGGAAGGGTAAACGAGGCTCCCCGAACCTCGAGCCCCAGAGCAAGGGTTCCCAGGCAGCACTGTTCCCCGGCACCAGCCAAGTCCACCTCTCTCCGCCCCCTCCGCTCACGGCTGAACCGTGGTTTTTCACCTCCGCAGCCAAGCCCTGCATTAGCGCAGCTGGTTCCATGAAGGACTGCAAAGCCAGAGGCCCTACGAGTTTCCCCGGCAAAATGCAGGGACAGCGCGACCCCTGTGTGTCCCCCCGCACCCGTTCCCAGCGTCTCCGGGGCCCTCCCGGGCCCGCCCCCACCCCACGTGCGCTGGCCCGACCGGGCGGCCTCCTCCGAAAACACCCCCAGTCCTCGCCCGGCTCCTCACTCACGAACGGTCACGCTGGGGTGCTCCATCATCATTGCGCTGAGGCTCCCCGCCTTAGGAATCGTCACGCGGTTCCACGGCTCCGAGCCCAGCAGCCTCGCAGCCATCTTGCGAGGCGGGAGACTTAGAAAAGGCGGAGCTACGCGAGAGCACGCAAACGACCGGAGGAGGGGCGATGGGTCCGGGCGGGGAGGGAGCAGGGGTGGGACTCGGGCGGGGCCTGGAGACTTAGAAAAGGCGGAGCTACGCGAGAGCACGCAGAACGACCGGAGGAGGGGCGATGGGTCCGGGCGGGGAGGGAGCAGGGGTGGGACTCGGGCGGGGCCTGGAGACTTAGAAAAGGCGAAGCTACGCGAGAGCACGCAGAACGACCGGAGGAGGGGCGATGGGTCCGGGAGGGGCGGGAGCAGGGGTGGGACTCGGGCGGGGCCTGGAGACTTAGAAAAGGCGGAGCTACGCGAGAGCACGCGGAACGACCGGAGGAGGGGCGATGGGTCCGGGCGGGGAGGGAGCAGGGGTGGGACTCGGGCGGGGCCTGGAGACTTAGAAAAGGCGAAGCTACGCGAGAGCACGCAGAACGACCGGAGGAGGGGCGATGGGTCCGGGAGGGGCGGGAGCAGGGGTGGGACTCGGGCGGGGCCTGGAGACTTAGAAAAGGCGGAGCTACGCGAGAGCACGCGGAACGACCGGAGGAGGGGCGATGGGTCCGGGCGGGAAGGGAGCAGGGGTGGGACTCGGGCGGGGCCTGGAGACTTAGAAAAGGCGGAGCTACGCGAGAGCACGCGGAACGACCGGAGGAGGAGCGATGGGTCCGGGCGGGAAGGGAGCAGGGGTGGGACTCGGGCGGGGCCTGGAGACTTAGAAAAGGCGGAGCTACGCGAGAGCACGCGGAACGACCGGAGGAGGAGCGATGGGTCCGGGCGGGAAGGGAGCAGGGGTGGGACTCGGGCGGGGCCGGGAGCTGGGCTGGGGCGGCCTTCACCGAGTAAACGCGTGGGGGCGCTGGAGGACACTGAATGGTGGGACTGGGAAGGACCTAGACAGTCATCTGTGCATTGGTTACCAACATATGGCCGCGTAGAATCACGGGGGTGTGTTTCGGCGGAACAAAAGCCCCATCCTGATACTAATCAATCAGACTCTCTGAGAATGGGGTGAGGAAAATGCGTTTTGTTTAAACTTTGCACAGGGCATTCGGAAGCACAACCAAGTTCGGAACTATTAAATACTTCTAAGCATTGTACAAATACGGAAAATGAGGCCCAGGATTGAGTTGGTGCTTTCACCCGCAATTCTCCCTGAGACATTAGGGGGAAAAGGAAGAAATGAAATAAAGAGGTTTGCAAGGTGTGGAATTTGTAACGAAGAAGGAGTGATTTGCTTTGAGTAGTAACGGAAGGCTCCTTTATGTCCTGAGCCAAAGGAAAACCTACATCACGTAAGAGAAACTTGGAAGCCACCTATCTGTCATTCCCACTTCTGTCAGTCTCCAAGACAAGATCATATTCCAAGCTCTGCTGATCCTTACCTCTGTAATATCTTTCTAGTAATTCACTTATCCTCAGCCGTATTAATGTCCCTTCACTTAAGTGCTAAAGACTCCCACAGTCACCTATTAGAAAAGCATTAGAGTGAGTTTTGGAAACAGACTGCGAGATTCCATCCAGTTCTAGCTTTGCTGCTTGCCAGCTTGTTGATCTCAGGAAAGGTGCTTACCTCCTCCTCCAGACTTGAGTATCCCTGTGGGAAAAATGAAGATGGTAATAATAGTATCGATCTCACAGACTTGTAAAATGCCAAGGCACTCCTGGCACACAAACAATAAACATTTACCATAATTGATATTGTTGATGTTTTTACTACTGTTCAATGCAAGCAGTTTTACTTTATGGGAGCACTCTCCAGGCTCCTTCTGTGCGCCTTCACACATGCTGCTTATACTCTACCTGGACCATCCTCCAAAGCACAGTCTCCTTTCTTCAGCTCTGGGGTCATATTTTGAGTAATTCTTCCTGAACACCCCATTGTCACTCACTCCATGACTTGACATGGAGGCCTCTTTTTTTTTAGTTATTTTTACTCCCACTAGAAAAAAGAGCCATTAGAGATCCACATCCCTCTGAAAAGATTTCTGTGGATTTGTGATTTTAAGACACACTTTTCACATTCAAATCCTCTTAAAATTTAGTCACACTTTCCCTTTAAGATTTGACATTTGTGTTTTGTTCTGCAGTGACTTCTCAATCTCATTAAGCATTAATTTTAATAAATTGTGATGGTATAAATTATATTTTTTTCATCAAATAAACACAATTCTGGTTTTCTTATTTTTTTTTTTTTTCTTAGCCATTAGGAAGCCATCAGCCCTATGTCCCCCTCTCCTCATTCTTTTTTTTTTTAATGGATTGGAGGTTTCAGTGGGACGGGAGAATCACAAGGAATCAGGTGTTCAGAGGAATGTATTGAGCAGAGGTGAGGAACTAGGATGTTTAAAAGTAAAAAAAGGAGAGAAGGAGAGGAAGAAGGAAGAAAAAGAGGGAGAGAGAACAGGAATATTGCTTCATTCTAAAAATGGGTATTAATAATGGCCAATCAATATTTTGTGTATTTAAATGGAGAACTCTATAAATATTTATTGAGTTTACTTGTTCCGTATCTGAGTTGAAGTCCTGGATATCCTTATTAACTTTCTGTCTCGTTGAGTCTAAATCTCATTATGGGTCTTATGTATCTGGGTATTAAGATCTCTTATTGTTGCATTGATCCTTTTACCACTGTATCTTTGTGGCTTTGAAATCTATTTTATCAAATGTGAGAATTGCAACTCCTGCTTTTTGTTCATTTATTCATTTTTGCTCTCCATTTGGTTGGTTGGAAGCCTCTTTAAAGTTTTACCACAGTGCCCTGTGTTGGCCTATGTATTAGTTTTCTATTGCTGCTGTATACCACAGACTTAATGGCTTGAAATAAGTAGAAGCTGTTTTACATTTCTGGAGGTCAGAAACCCAAAATCAGTTTCATTGGACTGAAGGTGGCAGGGCTGGTTCCTTCTGGAGTCTCTAGGGAATAATTCATTTCCATGCCTTTTCCAGCTTCTAGCGGCTGCCTTCATTCCTTGGCTCATTTCACTCTTCTCCACCTTCATAGTCGGCGTCATACTTTTCAGTCTCCTCTTCTTTCGCTCTCTCTCACCCTCCTGCCTGCCTCCCTCTTAAAAACACCCTTGTGATTAGGTCGAGTCCATCAAGATAATCAGGACAGTCACTCCATCTCAGAATCTTTAACTTAATCTCATCTGTTTTAGAACTCCAAATTCAGGCGCGTGTACCCGACAGGCAGCTCATGCCAAATACTGAGATACTGGTGCTTGGATATAGAGAAATACTTATTCAATTTGGCCAAAGTGAGAAGGCAAGAGAGCAAGAGCTCTCAAATCCACAGAAACAAAAAAGAAGCAGGGAGTTTTTATGCAGCTAGAGAGTAAGGGAGAGGGAGTTCCAAGGAGTCCAGGGGAAAAGTCTGCGTTTCTTCAGTTTCAGATAACACCTTGTGCAGCCATATGGACATGGCAGCGGGTTGCAGTGTCCTTCCAGGAATTCCTTTCTTCTCCAAACTATTCCTGTGACCCTGAAGTTATCTCCTCCTGCCTGACAAAGAAACAGTACATTGGCACTTCATAATTACGTTATGGGAACAAGGAATACCGGGCAGAAAGTGAGTGCGTAACATGGACAAGCAAGCAAGGGCCTGATCAGAATTTTCTTTATTTCAGTCACACACAGAAAATGCTGGAGTGCTGAAGTCTCAAGAGCCCTGGTTATGTATCTGCAAAATTCCTTCTCGGTGCGAGGTAACATATTCAGAGATTATGGAAATTAGGATGTGAACATCTTTGGGTGGGAGGTGGGGGGATGGTTATTCAGCCTACTACAGCCTTTCTCACAGAATTTACCTCATCCCCAGGCAGTTAAGAGAAGAAGAATATTACTACAGAGAGGTTTTAAGCAGCATGGGTTTGAAGAATCACGGGTCCTGAGCTAGTACAGCTGGGACATGATTTGTGCTGAGGGATAGAGCCGGGAATACTGGTGTCAGGTCATGGGAAGAATTTGGATTTTTTACCTAAAGACCAGTAGTTCAGAAACCTGGCTGATTATCAAAATTGCCTGGATAGCTTTTAAAAATAGAGATTTTCAGTCGGGTGCAGTGGCTCACACCTGAAATCCCAGCACTTTCAAAGGCCAAGGTGGGCGGATCATGAGGTCAGGGATTCAAGACGAGCTTGACCAGCATGGCAAAACCCCATCTCTACTAAAAATACAAAAATTAGCCATGCATGGTGGCAGGTGCCTGTAATCCCAGCTGCTCAAGAGGCTGAGGCAGGAGAATCACTTGAACCTGGGAAGCGGAGGCGGCAGTGAGCCAAGATGGCGCCACTGCACTCCAGCCTTGACTACAAGAGCGAGACTCCATCTCAAATAAATAAATAAATAGAGATTTTCAGGTCCCATTTTAGAAATTCTTATTAGTTCTGAGTAGGGCTGTTTTCGAAAGGTCTTTGTGATGGTAGTCTAGGTTGACGTGACCTCGCTATAGGCGATAAAGGAGTTACTCGCTGGGTCTTCGGCAGGACAATTTTTGTCACCTTGCCTCAGAAGAAGAGCACTCTAGAGAACAGATTTGGGAGGGAAGAGGTTGGAACAGACCCATTACAAAAGCGAAGGCCAGAAATGCTAGAGGCCCAAACCTTCAAGCATCTCTACTGAATATGACAGTATGACTTATTTAGATGTCTAGCATGGATTGAGAGTATCCCTTATCTGAAATGCTTGGGACCAAAATTGTTTCGAATTTCCCATTTTTTTAAGATTTTGGAATAATTGCAAATACAGATGAGATATCT